TATAATCAAATGAATATGCATATGTGATATGAGACTTGAAAAATGAAAATTTCTATCCTAATCATGGATTTTACTTCATCGGATACACTTTTGACAAAAAAGAAAGATTGTATTCATTCAAGCAAGCTTTCCTTGACAAATCTAGATTTTTGATGTTTGTACAAAAGTTCTCAAGTAACAAATTTCCCTCCAAGGTGCTCAAGTTGTGCTTAAGGAGTAAAGGTACAAGAATCCACCGCAGAAAAACACCGCAAGAAGTGATGATACTCATCAATGGTGGGCACCAACTCAAACTATGGGAATACAAATGCTTGATATTGAGGTACATAAAATTTCAACATAACTCTGAACAAATTCCATTTTGGCACCATTGACAATAGATCCCCAATGCACCCAAATCGGACTCCTAAGTCATGCTTCTCCCTAGAAGACAACAAACCGTAAGCCTCTTTTAACAATTTCAAGTTGGGTTTGGAGGCATTGACTGAAAAGATTGATTCCCTAGCTTTCTTGGTAGTAGAAAGAGATGTGACATCTTCACCAAGTCTCTTCCCTTGTCTAGTTGTATCCTCGGTAAAATCCATGTCTAATGCATGATCTTACCTAAACAAAGGCTTAAAGAAGTTAAACATAAATCATAACCTCACATGCTATACCTCATTAAGTGTGCAAAAATAAGCTGCCATATGCTCAAACAAAGGTTAGTGAAGTAAAATGCCCCTTTTGTGTCTTAAACATGGGATGCTTAGCCTCACGAGTGGGATGCTAAGGGAAACATGTTTTCAGGTTGGTATTTCTCTAAGGTCAATACATGTTTTCCTAAAAGGCATTAGGCCTTTTTAACCATTTATCCTTTCAGAATCAACAGGAGATATTTCCGAAAGCTAATACACAGGACGATATTACATCATTAGGTGTCGTATTAACCAATGGAAACAACCTAACGAGAACCGATCTTACTTCTCAAAGCGGGAAGAATTGCTTTTCCAAGCCAAATTCGTAAGGATTTCAGACTAGAGGTTGGGTTCACCTCCGACATGGACCTAATGCAAAATGAGGGTGAGTGTGTGCAAAGGGGCATGACACTCCAATAACCTGCACAATGGCAATTGCAAAAACAACAACATATATCCCACGGCAATCAAATAAAGCATGTAAAGCACTCAACAAATATATCATCCACAAACAAACCTACTTACACAGAAGGAAGGGACTCACCTAGTACTCCCGTGCCAAATGTAAAAGGTTAGTAACACAAAGCAACCAACACTTAGCATGCAACAAGATATAAATAATCACACAAGAGGGAAGAGACTCACTGAGTACTCCATAGCCAAGTGTAAAAGGTGAGTATATCCACACACAAGTAAGTAGGCATGTAAGCATTGATGCATGATGAATAAGCATATAATATCAATGATGGATGAGCATGTGAGATGATATGATGCATGAACATGTGAGCAAGGTATGATGCATGTCAAGATATAGCAAGATAACTACTTGAAAGCAAAACAATCGAAGCAACCACCAATACAATAAGCGAACAAGCAACAATCACCACACAACAAGCACATGCAACAAACGACAAAGACCAACAAAGACTCAACAAAGACTCAACAAACAAACAAAATCAAAAGTTGAAAAATTCTCCTAAAGTTAAAGTATTAGCTCGACCTTTGTGGACCTAGAATATGGAAACCAGAGATTCTAGGTTCGAGTCCCCAGTGGAGTCACTAATTGGTTGACGACCACTTAAAATTTCAAAATAATGAAAAATTAAGTGTAAAATATAAAACAAAAGGGAGTCGTTACTCGTCCAAATTATAAGGTGGGACAAGTCACCTTAAAATGAGTCTGCGCAGAGATCGAGGTTGAGGGTTCGGTTATGAGTGAGGAAGGGCATACGCGTACCTCACAATCCTCTGTTTAAACACAGTTGTATACTTTAACATTAGGATTTTAATTCAACTTATTCATTACGTTTGTATTTAGATCTAAATAAGAAAGCTTGAAAAAAGGGATAAACCAAATTGCAACATTTTTTAAAATTTTGGACTGAAATGGACAAAATCAAGAACATGCATGCACAATAAACACAAATAAAAATTAAATGGACTGATTTGATTAAGTTCAAAAACATGGAGGATTGATTTGAAAAGAGTTGAGACCCATGGACTAAATTGCTTAATTGTGAAAGTTTTAAGTGAAATTTGAAATAAAGAAAGATAATTTTGACTTTAGAAAAGATTAAAGAAAATAGAGAATTGAAATTAATTAATTAAGATAATTAACTTAGTTGGATGATTGATTTAATATTAATTAAAATTAATTAATTACATTTATCAACCTCCTCTAATCAAAATAATCAAATAAATTTAATTACTTCAAATTAAGATCAATAAATATGATTAATTTATTTTAATTAAAGTTAATTAATTTTGTTAATTATACATTTAAACTAATTATCTTAATCAATTTATTTATTTTTTTTACTTTTTTTTTTAGTTTTGTTTTAGTTTAGTTATTTTTTTTTTATTTTTTTATTTTTTTAAAATTTTTTTTAACACACCGAAAATAGTCCAAAATAGATCAAAACTTAGACAACTGAAATATGGAGGGAAACAAAAGGAAATTTACGATTCCTATTCTACCATTCATCAACACAGACAAAAAGAAAACAAACAAACATTCATCCCAACTCAAATCCATGACATTCAACCAGAACATGTTTGATTTTTTTTACATTCACAATATCATCATCAAATACAGTCCTAATACATCGAAATCTCAGAAAAATTGCAACAAACAAGGCAAAATTTTTTTGGGAGAAGACAGATCCGGATCGGAAGGAGGAATCCCACCCACGGGATCAAGCTCCATTCGTCTCCCTCACCATCCTTCCCAAAAATTCCTCTGTTTAGGGAATTACCTAAACAAAACCAGAAAATGTTTCCTTCTCCTTAAGCTGCTGTTGCCCTCTCCCATATCATCAATCTCGAACCAGCCCTTCAACACTAGCGACGGAGGCGGTGCTCTCGACAACCAACCTCCTCAAAGAAAACCAGCCCTCCCCTCTTCGAAATCTCCCTCCTTTCTCCTCCTCTCTTGGATTCTTCCTTTTTTTTTTTCTTTTTTTCTTTTTTAAAAGAACCCAGACGGAGACTCAAACTAAACTCGAAAATCAACCACCCAAAAGACCCCCAAAATCAAACTCCAAAATCAATCCAAGACTCGCCTCCTCATCTGATTTTTTCTATATATATACCCAAAACAATAAATAAAATATAATGAAATAAATAAAAAAACTTGCTCCGTCAATCACTAATGATGTCGATTTTGTCTGGTATGTGGTGGTATGTGGTGTTTTCTCTGTAGGTGAGGCAGGGGCATGGCTGTAGCGAGTATGAGGCAGAGGCGCGGGATTGGGCGTAGGCTTGGTGTGCAGAAGAGGGGGGCGGGCTCGGTGTGCAGAGGGGTGTAGGAGCGCATGAATGTGGGGTGCAAGAGTCCATGATTGCGCGCAGGCATGCAAGAGAGGCGTAGTTTGCACGGGATCTGGGCGCAGAAGGCTTGGTCGGGCGTAGAGCAGGGGGATCTGGTCTCGGGTGCGGGAGAAGGGAGAGGCGTAGGAGTGAGGAGATCTGGGCAAGGTCGGCGTAGGGCAAGGATCTGGGCTCGGCACAGCAACAAGGGTGCAGGCTCGGTGGTGCGCAGGAGTGCGCAGGCTCGTGCAACAGCAAGGGATCTGGGCTTGGTCGGGCGCAGGGCAGAGGGTGGGGAAGCAGGGTCTGGTTGCAAAGAGGGGAAGACTTTTCCATTTTTTTTTTAATCTGGTTAAATTGGTTTTTTTTTTTTTTTTTTTTTTTTTTTGGGGGTTTTCTTTAGGTTAAATGGGTTTTGGGTAGTTGGTGGGCTTGGTTTTTTTGGGTTTTTGGGTTTGAGGCTTTAAATTGAAATGGGTGGTGTTGGGTTGGGTTTGGTTTTAATGGGTTAGATTTATAGCTTAAAGGATTTCATCCCCCGACTTTTGATTTCTTCAATTGAGTCCTTTCTTTCTCTTTCTCCCACTTTTTCGCAAAATTTCCTTTTGCTTGCAAACCTAACAATGAAAGTAAAACCCAAACATATTAATTAAGATAAAAACTAAAAATAAAAATAAAAATTTAAAAATTTTGAGTTATGACACTAAGCTATATCTTAACCTTAGTTAGCTAAATTAGTTCATAATAAAAACATTAAAACTTGAAATCACATTTATGAACCAACAATAATCCTTATAAAAAAAGGAATAAAATCAAGGAAAAGTAAAACCCAATTTAAGGATGTCAACCTTTTTAATCTTCTATTATTGATAACTTTTTGCCACCTTTGACTTGGTCTCCAAGATTGCCCCAAAATGGGCTATCAAAAGCCTCCCCCGAAAGCTCTCATCAATTCTTATCTTGGATGAATATTCATAAAAGTGTAGAAAACCTAATTGGCATAGACATGAGACCCGCACCAAAATAACATGCACTAGACTTGGACTTGCTGAAATTGACCAAGGGATCAACACTCTGAATAAGGTATCAACACTTTTGCTATATCGTTGAATGAAAAGTCTGCTTCGGGTTTTGGCCTTACAAACAATTTTAGTTAATGGTAAAATAATAGAACTGATCTTTAACTTCTAGCTTTTGTGTAATTTAATTCTCAACTTTCTGATCCTTGTAGTTTGGTCCTAAAAGTTATGATTTTTTCTATTTAAATCCTTCCTTACACAAATAATGAAAATTATGTAAAATCACGTAAAATATCATAATACTCATCCAAATATAGATGATATCAAGATAAAGATTCCAAATTAATATCTATAAAATTAGAAATTGAAAAGTGAGAGAAATATTTAAAGGTTTATTGCTTTTTTGTCTTTATTGTATATACAAAGGACCTATATAGATCTATACAATAAACTATTTCTAAGTATAAAACCAGTTAACTTAAATGTATACAATCAATTACAATGTAAATATACTGTAGATGCAAAAAAATTATTGGTCAATTGAAAAATGCCACGTGCTAATTTAGGTCTTGAAAAAATATAATATTATTCTTGACATATTAAAATTATTTTGGTGATGTCTTTGGACCAATCACAAAATGACTTTTGTCCCAATTAGAATTTAAGATACCTAAAAGAAAAGTCTTGTTTTTCAAAAAAGAATATATTAAAAAATTAATTAAATTAAAATATTTATTGTTCCAACTAATAGGATTAAAGCATTTCTATTACTTATCAAATAAAATTCTTATCCTAAATTGCTAAGGAAATAGTTGGTTGAGAAGTTATAATCTTAAAAGAACTCCTCAAATCATGCCTATAAATAGAGTACCTTCTTAAATCTTTTGACACACACTTTAGAAATAGAAAATTTTGAAATAAATTTTAAGTGTTAAGCTCTTTGAAGTTTCTCATTAACGAGAAATAAATCAAAGAACCCTATTAAGAGAAATTTGAAGACCCTATTACGAGGGATATGAAGACCTTATTAAGAGAGATTTGAATATCCTATTAAGAGGGATTTCAAAGAACCTTATTAAAAGGGAACTTGGAGTATGATGATTGAAAATGAAGAACAAGTGGAAGAGGCAACATAAAAAGTGTTGATCACTTGTTTCCCTATTAAAAGGGATTTAGATCTTATCTAATGAAGAAATTAAAGACTTTACTTATTCGAGAATAAGTCAATAAAAACCTTTGTCCAAGAAGTCAAGATTGAAATATTTTGTTTGAAGAGAATAATCGAAGGATTGAATTTTCAGAGATTGTAGCTCACAAACTTTTGTCAAATTTATAATTTGGTACATAAATTTTTAATAAAAGAATTTTTATTGTGTACAAATTTCTGGCAAACCCAGTGGAACAACTTTGCCTTTCATTTCTTTTCGTTGAAGAAGTTTCAAATTATTCTTAAAAAACAAGCCATCAAAAACGGTTGAAGACTTTGAGTCTACAATTAAGTCTGTGACTGTGACAACATGAGTGAAGGCAAGATCACGTGTTGTTATGCCATCTCATCCATACAACACAAGAGGCAACTCAAAAGCACTTGCCTCGCAAACTAATCAATTTGTTTTTTCTATGGAAGAAAAACCTTGTTTGAAGTTTTGCTTCAAGAAAAAGATGACTTGAAATCATCTTCTGATAATGAAGATAGTTATTCAAGCATTGAATTTTCTCCATCTTCTCTCAAGCTAATTGCTATTGCTATTAGTGGTATTATGGCGGTAATGACAACTAGTACAACCTTGTTAAAGGAACAAATTGTGAGTTTAACCCAAATGATTCAAGACTTGTTGAAAAAGCAAAAAGAAAAAGATGATTTGATTGCTGCACTCATGGCTAAGATAGACAATTTGACTAAAGTAAGTCAACCTTTGCAACAACCAAATGTTGATTATGAAGAAAATTCTGCAAAAAATAAAGTTACTCCTCTTTAACTTACTGATGATGATTTAGAGGTCATTTAGAATTCTTTAAACGAAACTGCCAACGCTCTCTAAATTATTAAATATGGCATAATTGATGTGGGTCAACGTGAGAAATTTATAAAAGTAGCAATTAAGGATTAAGTTGCAACAAGTACTCAATCGTATTACACCTATATTAAGCCATATACTTAGAGAATTGATCGTATGAGGATGCTTGCAAACTCTAACCTCCAAAATTTCAACAATTTGATGGTAAAGGTAACCCAAGACAGCATGTTGTCCATTTTGTGAAAACTTGCAACAATGTTGGTACTAAAGGGGATCTTATCTTTAAACAAGTTGTGTAATCCTTATAAGGAAATGCTTTTGATTGGTATATTGATCTTCAACCAAGTTCACTTGATAATAGGGAGCAACTAGAGCAAGAATTCCTTAATCATTTCTATAGTGCACGTCGTGTTGTTAGTATGATTGAGGTTACTAATGCACAATAGTGGAAAGATGAACCAATTATCCAATATATTGACTATTGCAGAAGTTTAAGTCTTAATTGTAAGGAATGAGTTTTTAAGGCATTTACACTTGATATGTGCATCTAAAGAATGAAGTGGGGACTACGATATATTTTACAAGGGATTAAGCCCAATGACTTTGAAGAATGAGCAACATGAACTCATGACATAGAACTTAGTATTGCTAGATTTGGAGATCAAAGTTTGCCTATTCATGAGTCAAATAAATCTAAAGATAAGTTTGAAATTCATAGAGGTGGAAAGAACGTCAAACTTGAAAGCAAAGAATCAATGGTCATCAACACAACACCATTGAAATTCTCCAAGTTCAAGAAGCAAGAAATGGGCTTAACATCTTCTCAAGGGAAGCCTAAGATAAATGCAACTTTGCAAGAAAGACAAGAGAAGAAATATCCTTTTCTTGATTCTGATTTTGCAAGGATATTTGATGATCTTTTGAAAGCTAGGTTGGTAGAGATTCCAAAGTCAAAATGCCTTAAAAAAGTTAATTGTACTGATGATCCAAATTATTGCAAGTATCATTGGTTGATTAGTCACCCTATTGAGAAATCCTTTGTGTTTAAAGACAAAGTTATGGAGTTATGTGATAAAGGAATTATTGAATTTGATGAAGACAGCATGACTTCCAATCTTATTGGAATTGGAAATGCAAGAACATGTGATGGTTATATAACTCCTATAAAATTTGGGTCAATCAATCCTAAATTGCTAGAATCTATTCACTCAAAAAAAGGTATTAAATTCCTTTTTATGCTAAGTTCTAATGATACATGTCATTTTGAGGAGATGGATTCCCAAAACATTAAGATTGAAGACCAAGAGGAAGAAGAGTGGACTTTTGTCACTTGTTGATGAAGGGAAAAGAAAAATTCTTCATTAGTAAAACAAGCTTAAGTTAGATCAAAGGTGGTAAATAGAGTGAAGAAGCTTTTATCTAAGAAGCCTTCATTTAAGAAGATGATTGGAGCTCAAGTACCTTGCCTCCAAGAAGATGTAGAGTTTGTGCAAAAACTAAGGTCCCTTGTGACGCTTGTTGAATTCATGCCAAAAGAACTTCTTAAGTTAATCCTCTTGCTATAGCAAGTTACCAAATTGATGGAGACATTGAGGAGAAAGAAGAAAAAGTACATCTTAAGAGACAAAATCTACAAACTCTACTTTTTGTTCATTAAAGATTACATTTTTTGATAAGGACCTTTTATTGGGATCAAAGCCTCATAATCTTCCTTTCTTTGTGGTTGGTTATTCTTAACAACAAAAGATTAGTCAAATCCTCATAGATGATGGATTGGCAGTATATATACTTCTTATCAAGACAATGAAGGACTTGAAGATTTCAAAGGAAGAATTTCTTCATAGTCGATTAATGATTCAAGGCTTTAACATAGGAGGACAAAGAGCTATTGGAAAAATAAGATTGAATTTGCTTATCGATGATATGGAATCAAGTGAATTATTTCATGTTCTTGATGCAAAAACAACTTACAATATGCTCCTAGGATGGCCATGGATACATAAAAATGGTGTTGTTTCATCTACACTTCACCAATGTTTCAAGTATTGCAAAAATGGTCAAGTTGGAATAGTTATTATAGATTTCAATCCTTTTTCTATAGTCGAATCTCATTTTGCTAATGCCAAGTTTTATCTTGAGGAGCCTACAGAAAAGAATGTGAAACAAGCCATGTTTCAAGCTACAAAGGAAATAAATCCAAAGCAAGAAACACAAGAGGTGACACAAAAAGAAAATAAAGCAACTTTGCCAACAAAAAATGATAAAGGTAAAGAGAAGAAAGAATATGAAGCCAAAGCTTTTCAATCAAGCCGTGTTCTTCACTATGTGCCTATGTCAAGAAGGAAAGAAGGTCAATTTGCATTTACTTTGAGGCAAGGTGAGCTAGTTAATGATTTGAAGCATTTAAATCTCCCTATTATTAGCCTTTTGGGACCAAAGATTGCTAACTCTCCAAATGAAGAACCAAAGAAGTCGAAACTGTGCTCTTTAACCAAGCAAATACATTTGTATGTAGAGCAAATTAATGGTTTTGACCCAAATGCCTATAAGTTATTGGCAAAATCATGTTATGAACAAGATGAAATTATTAAATTAACACAAGAATTTGATGAAGATCCAAAGAAAGGTGCAAAAGGATCAATAAAGGATCAATAAAAGTTCATAAAGCATGGAGAAAAAAGAAGGCTTCTCCCTAAGTATCTTAAGCAGGACTTGGCTATGACTTTGTCCCTTATTGATTAAATATACATGAAGAGGTGCAATATGTTACTATTGAAGAAGTAAATGAGAAAGAAAATGAATCATCAAAAACCTTAGTCTTTGATTGTCTTGGGACACCTACAACTAGAAATTTAGTCTTTGATTGAATTGGCAAGAAAGAAAACATTTCCCTTACTAAGAAAGCTCTAGTTACTATAAGACTCGGGTAGTAAAGAGAAGGAAGCCAAAGTCAAAGAATTCTACCATTGATTCTAAAGAAATTCAAAGTGTCATCCCATCTTGAATGAAGCGACAAAATGATTTGGTAGTGACCACTAGAGATATGTTGGAAGCAAGAAGCATACTATTATCTTCACAAATGAGTAGATTAATTTCCAAAGAAGTGAAGAAGTTGTATATTCTGACCATATCACCATATGTGATGAAGCTAAGATGAGCTTAAATTTGAAGAAAATGTTGAAGAGGCTTCATCAACTTTTGAGGATGGAAATCGAGCCACAATGGATGAATTGAAAGAAACTAATCTTGGAACTCTTGAATATCCTCATCTAATATTTTTGAATGCAAATTTAACCCCAAAGGAAGAAAATGCTTATGTTGAGCTTTTACATGAGTATCAAGATGTTTTCCATGGACTTATAAAGAAATGCCTAGCTTAGATCCAAAGGTGGCCGTTCATCACCTTGCAATTAAGAAAGGTGTTAAACTAGTAAAACAACCTCAATGTTGTTTTCGACTAGAATTAATTTCTCACATCGAAGTTGAGGTGAATAAGTTATTAGAAGTTGGGTTCATTCAAGAAGTGAAATATCCTCCTTGGATCTCAAATATTGTCCCAGTAAGAAAGAAAAATGGTCAACTTTGAATTTGTGTGGACTTTTGAGATCTTAACAATGCATGTCCAAAAGATAAACTTCCTCTTCCTCTCACTAAAATTATGGTAGATGCTACAAGTGGTCATGAAATTTTATCATTTATGGATGGATCATCTAGATATAATCAAAATCGAATGGCACCAGGAGATGAATATACTACCTTTTGAACCTTCAGAAGGTATATATTGCTACACACTCATGCCTTTTGGACTTAAGAATGTTGGTGCAACTTATCAACATGCATGCGGAAGATATTTGATGACATCATTCATAAAAGGTTAAATACCCTTTTTGGTCCCTCTACTATAGGAAAAAGTCCCTTTTTAGTCCTTATACCGAAAAAAGCCATTTTTTGGTCCCTAAATTTTAAAATCCGGCCCCTTTTTAGTCCTTCCGTTAATTTTTATTTACGTGGCACATTAACTTAACTGGAACAGCTGACGTGGGTATGCCAACGGGTAAAAGATGCTTACGTGGACTCCATGTCATCCTCCACGTAGACTCCACGTCACCCTTCACATGGACTCCACTTCCTTTGGCCTTTTTTTTTTTTCTTTTTTTTCCTCTTACCCCGCAGGCGAACCTAGGCTACCCAGGAGCCTAGGTTCGCGAGGAACCCAGGAGCTTGGGTTCCTCGCGAACTCACAAGCTGGGTTCCTCGCAGGCTACCCAGGAGCCTGGGTTTGCGAGGAACCTAGCTCGCGGGTTCGTCGCAGGCTACTTAGGAGCCTGTGTTTTCCACTCTGTTTTCTCTCTATTAATTTTTCTTGTTTTCCCTTTTTGCATTTCTTGAATTTTTCTGGGTCTTTCTAAA